TCCTTAGTGCTACGTGTTTGCTTTCGCTTTAGCTTAACATCTGTGAACCATTGGAAGGAAATGTAAAATTACAGATTGACATGCAGAAAAAGTACAATATATTTGTAATAGTACACAAAGATGGAGTTAAGATTGGGTAATGAGACAACAGAAGTACAAATACACTTCAAGAAAATGTACTCCAGTCATTTCAATCAAAATTGCATCTTAAGGTGAGATGCGTTATATGGAAAAGTGTATCTTAAATAAAGACTTTGCTCCTTAATATAGCAATGGAAATGACATTTTATATTAATGTTGAGTAACTATCTTAAGTCTCCTTAGTCAATATAACTGTCCAGATTTCCCATCTCTAGATATAGCTGAACTAACCATTTGACCACGCAACATTATATTAAAGTGAAAATTATGGCTCTAACACAAATATAACACGGGTGAAACTATTCCTGTCAAAATCCCCTCAATGAATCCCTCAAAAAAAATTGGAAACACTAATGGCCAAACATCAGCTGAAATCAAACAAATAAGAATAGGCAGATTTAGGAAAAAACTCAAAAGACAAAAACAGTTTATGTTCCACAAAGAATCAAACCATACAAAAAAAAATATAGTCCCTGCTACAAAGGGATCGCTTTTTTGAGAAATATCAGTTACCGATTGAAGAAAAGTTTTTTTCTGAAAATGTAAAAAAATCGCCAGTTAGATATACCGCTCCAACTGTTTCATAGATCTCAGGACATGGAAAAAAACGGGTGGAATGAATAGAAAACCTGGTCGATGCAAGTAAGAACGGAGCTTTGGATCGGATCTTCAGGAAAGCTCAAGATCAAAATGAAACGGTCGTAGAGGTGGAAAGAGTGATGGAGAAGCAATGGTGACGCGCAGAGGAGTTCAATTAATCAATGGATGAAGAAAACTGGGAAGTGAGGTCAATACTATGGTGATTCAATTAAAACCGAGTGAAGAAACAGAACCGCCGCGGGGCATTCCAGTGATTCAAGAGAAGTAGTCAGTAGTCACTAGTCAGGGAAGAAACAAATTGGGTAAGTAGTCAGCGACACTTTTTTAATTAATTAATTTTATTGAAAATAATTAGGGCGAGTTATGATTTTTTTACCCAAAAAAGACCCATTATACTAAGGTTATGTTTGACACGCATAAGTCCCTACCTTCTAGTTTTTGTACCGTTAAAAAGTCTCTAAAAGCTTCTAGTTGTATGTTTGGCATAACAACTTTTAAGAACTTTTAAAAAATTAAAAGATCTTTTTTTAGATGCTACGGGAAGTAGCATCTGATAAAAGCCCGTGACTTTTAGTATTAATTAGTCTTAACAGCTTGTATACCAAATCGAGCTAAATCAAACAGTCAACTTTTTAGCAAACAGCTCCCATCTTTTCTTTTTAAGATCTTTTCAGTCACTAAAAGCTAACAGTTATTAAAAAGCTTATAAAAGTATCTTTTCAGCTACTTGTGCCAAACATACCCTAAGAGTCTGTTCTGCAATACCCAAATCAGCTCTATTTAGAGGTGGGCAAGCGGGGTACTAGAACCGTGGGTCTAGTGGGGTAATATAGGTTCGGGGCGGGTTAGAGTCCGGTCCTAATTTTAGAAAATTCAAACGGTTTGAGGCGGGCGCGGGTCCTGAAAAACTTAGGAATCGAACGAGTCTTAAAATTTGAAAAACGGGTATCCGGACTGAATCGTTTCAAAATATTATTTTAATAATTTCTATTATATTTAATGTTTGTATAGTACGGTAGTATAATATATTAACAACACACAAAAACTCTTTATGTTCTTGTATCTAGAAAAAGACTTCCAATTAAAGAAACTTCTCATTGTATTAAAAGTAGTTTCCAAGTCCGTATAATTAAACTCCTAAATTATTTTTCTCAATTTATCTATTCCAAATGCATCAAACTTTCTTTCTTTAATATTTTTTGTAAACAAATGCTCTTACTCAATGAAGTGTGACATATTAATTTAATTATCTTAATTTTACTTATATTTGGAGATTTTTTTGGGCAATTCTTTCCGACATATTATGGTATATATTCTATGTTAAGGCCAACATCCTTGAACTGGGATGTGATTCGAACCTGTGACCTCCTCCTTGGAAGTGTCACAATGATGTCATCAGATCACACTGTACTTGGCTTATACTTGAAGATTTAATAAGTTTTAAATTGTTTTCATAGACAAATATGTATAATGACTAGTTTAATTTCTTATCAATTTATGATGCTATCTTTTTAATTAGTTTATGAATGATGATTAACATTTTAATTATGGTGGTTGTGTGTTGTTTAATTTATAGATTTGTGGTTCGATGTTTTGTTAACTAATTTAAAATGTTGCCTTATACTATGTACTTTTATTTTGAATTTTTACTGTATTATGATTACATTAATACGAAATTAATTTGAGAATTTTATAACTTACTAGAAATTATGTTTGCAAAGCCATGTTACTTTTGAAAAAAGAGAGAAGAGAATCGCGGTTAAAAACTGGGTATATTTTGGTCGGTTAAAAACTTAAAATTGGGTCGGTTAAAAACTTAAAATCTAAATCGAAAAACATTACTTAAAATCTCAATGGAAAAATACATTCTTTGGCTATACATATTTTGATACTTTTAAATTCCACCTATTTCGATTAGCAGATGTTCTTAGAGTTCTACTTTTTTGTTCCTTTCGCGTCGTTGAGCATTAATTAGCAAATCTAACGAAAGAGAAGAGTATAGATTCTTTGCAAACGAGTATAGATTAATATGTTTCAAGTAAGTGTCACGTTATTTTGGAAAAAATGTGAGTATTCTACAACATTTTCACTTAAATATACCCTCCGCTAAAAGTTCCCGGTTACACTTCCCATATATTAATGTGTTGACAATGTTTCGACTTCCCGTAACATTTTCACTTAAACATACATTAATGAAATAAACTTATCAGAGGGTAAATTTAACTGTTTTGGCAATGTTTCGACACTATTTGATACTTTTGACACCGTTTTATACTATTCGACATTGTTTTGATGTAGATAACTCTCTATTTAAGAAAATGAGAACTTCTTTTTTAGACTGCTAAAAAAGGAAAGCGAGAAATTCCTAGCGATAGGCAGAGAGTAATAATTTTACGTTTTAACCATTTTATTATTAATTATGCCAAATTATTATGATACATAAAAAGAGAAAGAGGACAAAAGTGACCAAATGAACTCCACCGACATTTCAGTCTAGAATGAATCAACGGTGACCATCACCGCATGCACAAAGAATGCAATTTTTAAAAGGAGTTTTCACTTCCGTGTTGAAAGCCATGAGTTTTGGTTCTTTAATTACTTATAATGGACTTTTTATACTCCCTTAATTATTGGATCTATTATTCATCTCAATCTGCCATTAAAACGCCAATTACCACCAAATCCAACAACTATATTAAATCATAATAACGTTCGTCACATGACTGATAAATGATAATACAATTAAGGAAAAAGATGTAACCAAAACGATAAAAAGTCTTATGTTTGTCGTCCACCCTTGAATCAGACTTAGAATCTATCACCTCTGTCGAAGCAATAATATTCGTTGATCCTGTAATAGGCTTAACTGAGTCAATGACTGACAAACCTGACTTCTCATCACCTAACTTAAATTCTAGAAACTCTCTGCTAGGAAATAAGAACACATCCAAAACAACATGCAATTCGAAAGAAAAACACAAACAAAATAAAACGGAATTAAAACAAAGTTCACACATCTTCTTCCAAACCCTAGACGTGCTTGCATTCCACGGCGGCAGCTCAAGAGAGAGACGCGCCCACCACTCATCCACCTCAATAATCTAGCTTTTGACGATATCCTCCTTTAACATCCCTTGCTGCTGAATCGAAATCATACTCCGCCACAGCTTAACCACCTTTGCTTTGTCAACACCCGTCCTTCGACCAGAAACAACAGCAGAAGTCGAGCCCCTGGCCGCCAAAGCGCTGCATCCCTGGTCCCGAGCCTTACGATGATGCGTTATGCCTCTCCCAACAAACCTCCAGAACGCCGCTTCACAGCTCTTCCTCGACGAAACCACGAACCACGATGATCGCCCTCGCATCCTGTCCGAACCCCTCCGTTTGACCTCCAAATTCCCGATGATAACAGGTGGCCGGCCGAAACCAACCCCGCTCCTTGGCTAAGCCGATAGCGGACAAATTGATGCTACGCGTTGCCTTGCGGCAACCCTAGAGAGAGATAGAACAGCCAATTACTTATAAACTATCACAAATTTTTTTACTTATACTTTTTAAAAATTATCTTAAGAAGTCATTTTTTCAATTATTCATGGATATAAACTAAATTCATATGATTATTTTTTTAAATTTTGTAATAAATAAATGAATTTCATTTTAACATATTATCAAAATCGAACTGATGAAAACAGTGTTACCATAACTACTAAATGTACTCACAAATAAAGTGTGTATGTCAATATTCTTGTAGCATGTTGGCATAATGAGTATTCCATTATATTTATATGTATGATCACCCGTCAACATAAGATAATATTATTAACCAAGCAAACTAGCTCAGCTGATTGTGAGGTTACCGTGTCTTGTGGGAAGTCTCGAGTTCGAAACCTGCTAGGCACATAAGGGTTCGAAATTGAATGTAGTGAGTTTCAGCACTGATTACCCCAGTCCACCTCCCTCAGACCCCCTGGAGTAAAAAAAATTAAAAAAATAAAGAATGTGAAAAAAGAAAAAAAACAAAAAAAAAACATACGATAGTATTATTCTGTATTATGATTAAATATTGTGGCTCTAGTTTATTTACTTCATCAATAACCATAATCTTTATGATATTTGCGCACTATAAATCATTCTTTTATATACTACTCCATAAATTGCATTTGAGTTTGACATAAGTATTAAGAAAATCAAGATGCGATCATACAAAACAAATGGTGAAAAGATAGATAAAACGATAAAATTAGAAAGTAAAAGGTTAGTAAAGTTCAATTTTGCAAGTATATTCATATTTTTTTTACACTAATGAGTCATTATTTGTACACATAAGTGTGATTTAAAAGAAAAAACAAGTAAGGCCTATATAAAATACAATTACGTTTTATTAGAAAAGAAAAGTAAAAATCGAAACCGGACCACACTGTCCCTAACCACTGACGGAGAAATCCTTTGTTTTGGGATATGAATAAAAAAGACAATGTCTCACGCACAAAACCGAGTGAAGTAGTGGAGCGAAGAAACAGAACGCAGCGGAGCATTCCAGTCCAGTGATTCAATTCAATTTTCATGTTGATTAGAGCTTGAATGACTTCGAATCCATACAGCTGAGTCCAACTCGACTCACCAACGGTTCACAAATGGGCCGCAGCTCGGCGAGTTCCGACGACGAAGATACCAGCAACAATAATGCCATCAACTCCGAGGCTTTCCACTCGATCCGCGACCGTTTTCGCTTCAAGAGGAACCCTAATTCGAGTGGCTCCCTCCCGCGCTTCTCCAAAGCACCGCCTTCATCGGCTGCTGCTGCGGATCGGCAGTGGAAGTCAGCGGGCGGCGGGCGATCTCACCACCACCGGTCCCTGACTAGGAAAATTCTCCTCTTTTTTTCTTTCAGAGGCAGATCATGGTTCTATTTTTGCACTCTCCTGGTTATTTTTATGTTTGCGTTGGCGTCGTTGGCGCTCCAGAGCTCGATCATGTCAGTGTTGAGACAAGGTGCAGAGAGTGAGAGAAGGCCATGGTCGTGGCCAGTTAGGGACGATTTGAAGTTAGGAACCTCACTGGTATTTATACCGTCCCAGAAATTTCAGTTTGGAAATGGTCTTGATCGGCTTCGGAGTCTGCCTAGGATAGGAGTTCGGCCTCCGCGTATCGGTCTAGTAAGTGCTCAATCTTTTACCAGTGCAACTGTGCGGATATGTATTGTCTATATTTATATATCTATATCTATCTAGATTACTTCGCATTAATTAGTGTCATTCTCGTCACGTAACTTCTTTTTAAATAATAATGATAATGATATATGGTAATTACGTTACCGTTTTTATGCATAACGAATAGGGGGTAGGAAGCTTGTGAGTTACAGAATAATTTAATGCCTTGTTGCTGACTTGCTGTCATATATATAGATAAAAATACCACTCCGTAACTCTCTTGTTTTAATTTTGGTCATTTTACTATGTCTGGTTGCGCTATAGTCCACTGTACCGTGTTGTTCAAGGAACTGTATTTCTGTATTTTTTGGGCTTGAGTGCTGCTTTGTAAATCTGATAATACCCTGTTTTTTATATGTAAGATCTTAGGGAATTTGAAGAAAAATCCCCTATCCTTGATGCTGTATACAGTCATGAAGAATTTAAAGGATTTGGGTTATCTGATCAAGGTAATCTCTTGAAACTGCTACTTTCTTAAATACACTGATGTATTCAATGGAGAATTCCATATTGGACCATGACAATTGTTTTTATCCCTAATATAAAGTGCCCCATATTTGTCACTGCTAGGAAATAGAAAGGGGAACTGTTTTTGTATATGTTGCATAAAAACTGCACCCCTATACCGTAATGCCTAGTGACATGTAATGTAGTGATTTTTGTAGGGTCATAGCATTACTCTTCTACAATATTTTAACTTAAAATGTCAGGGACTCTAAAATATTTTTTAACTGAGGCTAATGGTATACTTCAAAAAAACATACAAGGTTTGTTATTTCTTTATTTAACAATGACTCACACCTCTAGATCAATATGATATCCTCAAGTTAAGTACTCCCTCCGTGGCTCCGTCCCACTAACAATGGGACAAGTGGGAGTGACACGCAAATTTATAAAAAGTGGTTTATGTGGTTGATATTGAATTGATAAAGTAAAAATAAAGAATGATTTAGAGTCACACAAACTTTACCAAATAAGGTATGGGACAATCTTAGTGGGACGGACCGAAATAGTAAAATGGGACAATCTTAGCGGGACGGAGGTAGTAATATACTACGTAATATATATGTAAAATTCTGGACTGTGGATAAAACTAATAAGATAAAGCCAGGAACCCAATTTGGTTTCTGATTTATTTCTGCATTCAGGTCTCTTTAACTCTAATTATAACGTATTTCCTTGTACTCACTAATCACATAGTTACACATCTTTTTCAATAACTTCTCTCCAGTGTGCCTATTGTAAGCCCATAACATGATCTGGTTGGCATTCCTCGGAAATTCTTGTTGATATCATGATTTTGTAACACCTTTTGCTTGTATACTAATAACTTACTCATAATGCGCCATTGAACATTTCTGAACTATTCAATTCTAACTTGTACTTTTTAAGTCATTTCCAATAGCATCGACTCTTGTATTTGTAGATTCCTTTTATGCTCTCATTTAATAACTGTCCTCTATTATTTCTTTTAGTTGCATTCTTACTTTAGGCATCACAATTTTTTTCAGATTTATGCTTTAGAGGATGGGAATGCAATGTCATTGTGGGAAATAATAGGAAATGTTTCAGTTTTAAGTGCCGAAAGATTCATCTATATTGACTGGTCACTGTACGTATTCTCTGTTTTTGCTTATCTTGATGCTCCTGAGTTTCTGTTCCGCTCCTTTTTACTTTTCTAATTTGTTATGTGTCAGCTTCAATGGTTAAATAGAGCCTTTAATCGGATTCTAGACTAATTATACATTTACATTATTTTCAGTTTTGATGGTGTCATTGCTGACTCTCTTGAAGATAAAAGAGCCATTTCAAGGTACTAATTAGGTTGGCTGATGAAATTTTGACTTTTTGGTTATGGATACCATGGATCGATTCATGTTAGCCGACCCCAAAATCTTTTGGGATTAAGGCTTGGATGTTGTTGTTGTTGTTGGTTATTGATACTTGCCTAACACACAAGTTTAGGCAAGGCTCTTCACAATGCTTCTTTTGGGGTTTTAAACAAGTTCAGAGTTTCTTCACTTCAATGCATATGGAGTATAGATATAGATGTGCTTTCCTTTTTTGGTTTATAGCTAGTATAATTATTTAGAGTCTAGCGAATACATGGATTACAAAGATGTGGAAGATATCAGTATCTACTATCTACGCATATTACATCGTTACATATATTACTGTCTAAGATAAATTTTACACGTTGCTTTGTTTAAATCATTATGGTTTTGTGAGTATTATGTTTATTTATGCAGCCTTATGCAGGAGCCCTTTTGCTCAGTGCCACTTATATGGATGGTTCATGAAGACACACTAGCAAATAGGCTTCAAATTTATGAGAGTATGGGGTGGGAGCATCTGATGTTCCATTGGAGGGCTGCCTTTCACAGGGCTGATGTTGTTGTGTTTCCAGATTTTTCATTGCCGGTAGCTATGTTGTATTTCATGTCACACTTATTCTTATTTTTTCCATTAGCTGCATAAATCCTTCTTATGCTTACATATCATTCTTTTCCCCAGATGCTATATAGTGTGCTTGACACAGGAAACTTCTTTGTCATCCCTGGATCACCAAAAGATGTTTGGGCTGCTGAAAGCTACAGTAGGACCCATTCCAAATCCCAGCTAAGGGAGGAATATGGTTTCGATAATGATGACATACTTGTTCTGGTTGTTGGAAGTTCATTCCTCTACAATAAGTTATCATGGGATTATGTTTTACCTATGCGAGAGATGGAACCTTTGCTCATAAAGTACACAGGATTGAACAATATGAATGATAAACTAAAATTCATGTTTCTATCTGGGAACACTACTGATGGATATAATTATGTTTTGCAGGTAAACAACTTCAAATTCCCACATGTATTCTTTTTTAAGAATTTAGTCCAAAAGAGGCTAACATATTTATGATTTATTAAAAGTGTCTTCTTCTGTATTCTCTTAATAGGACTTGTATTGCTTGATGTATTAAATTACACTTAATTCCCTTAAGGCATGTTTGGGAGTTAGGTATTGGAAGGAATGAAGGGGGTTATTTCATTCTAAGAAAGTACTTTAATGTGATATTATTTTAACCAAACTTTTACCTAACTCTAAATATAAATACGAAGTATCTATAATACAAAGATGTGAAACAATGCAAACTTTCCCCTTTTTCTCATACAAAGTGAATTGTGAAACAGTGCATTGCAGATGCTCAAATATACATTATTTATAAAAATCACGACTATTGTTGATTATTTCTGGTCTACTGTGGCTTAGCTCAAAGCTCTAATTAAGCTTTGCTGAAGTCATAGTGTACCTGACACTTACTGGATGAAATATCTTATTTAGTTTCTGTATCCTTTTCCAAATTTCTAGTTCCTATTCACTTACTCATTGCTACTTTCTTTGGGCTTGATCTTCTAAAAGATGCATATTCAGTTTCTAACAAGTCATCACACTGTTGGTTTAACAAGAAAGCTCAAAATTTAGTTTTATATATTTGTGTTTTCTCTAATAAATCTAAGTTACTTGTCTGTCTTTTTTGTAGGATGTTGCTACTCGCCTTGGACTGCATCATGGATCCTTATACAGCTATGGAATAAATAGCGATGTCAACGGTCTCTTAATGATGTCTGACATTGTACTTTATTCTTCTTCCCAAGATGAGCAGAATTTTCCTCCCCCACTGATACGCGCCATGTCATATGGGATACCCATTGTTGCGTCTGATTACCCTGTCATACATAAATATGTGAGGGATATAATCTCTCTTAATAATGATATTTTAAAACTGATATTTTTGTAGATACTACATCTCCTGTCCTAAAATAACTCACATATAGGACTGAAAAGATACTCCGTGGGACTTTTAGTAACTGTTAGCTTTTAGTGATGGTAAAGATCTCAAAAGAAAAAGGTTGTAGCTGTTTGATAAAAAGTTGACTGATTGATTTAGTTTTGTTTGGTATAACGAACTGTTGTGACTACTTAATCCTAAAAGCTACATACTTTCTCTCATAAGCTACTCTGTGTAGCTTCTCCAAAAGATATGTTACTCCGTATTTTTTAAAAAACTCTTAATTATTGTCGTACTAAACATATGACTAGAGGCTTTTAGAGACTTTTTAAACAGTAGAAAAGATAAAAGGTAGGGGTTTATGCCTACCAAATATTCACTTAACCAATATGTACAACTTTTTAATTGTAGTATGGTACAACTTTCACAAATAATGAATCATGCTTTTTTTGGTATTTATTTGTTGGTTTATGTTAACTTATCTACACCTATTTTTAGTTTTTTTTTGGTTTTGTTTTCCGGGGAAGTTATATGGAATAGCTTCCTCTGATAAAAAGTCTCATTTTTGGGACAAAACAAGTGATTGAAGCACGATTCATTATTGGGACTGAGGCAGTTTCTAATATTTTTGAACCTGCAGGTTGTTGATGGGGTTCATGGAATGATATTTCCACATCATAGTTCTGATGCACTGTTGAAGGCTTTCTCACTTCTGGTCTCTGATGGAAAACTTACAAAATATGCCTATTCTATCGCATCTTCTAGTAGATTGCTAGCAAAGAACCTGTTCGCAGCCGAATGCATTACAGGCTATGCAAAGCTGATAGAGCATGTCTTCAATTTCCCATCTGACGTGGTACTTCCAGGCAATACTTCTCTGCTTAAGCAGCACATGTGGGAATGGTATTATTTTCAAAAGGGAGATAACACTGGTGATATGGAGGATAAGGATCCCATTAATCTGAGTGTTGTATATGAGCTTGAGGAACAATTGGGCAATCTTGTTTCGTTGAAGAATGCTTCCGGTGAAGCTAGTGATTCTCTAGAAGTGGATTTTCCAACTGAGTTGGATTGGGACATTTTTACAGAAATAGAGAGTTCTGAGGAAGCTGACAGATTAGAACAGGAAGAGGTAAAATACTGAAATCAGTAAAACTAGTGAAAGCCGCCCATTTCCCCAAAAGAAAAATTTAAGATTAGGGGTTAAGTTATTTATAAAATTGGGGTTACTTATCTTCTTGTGATGATATTTCCCATGCATGTGGAAATACTCATGATGATGACATTTTTAGAGTTTTCATCTTACTATTCCTTATGAAAGTTGCAGCAGGAAGTGCATCCAGCTTAAAACATTGCCACTATATGCTTGTGTGTGTTTATATATACATTTGCATGAATTTAGTGTTACTGTGTTAGTAACTTTATACAACTACTTAGCAGTAAAGTATAAAATATAAAGCCTTCGAACCCAACTAGTTTAAGATTTTTAGATTAAAATGCTAATAATGATGATAGCTCATTTCATTGGTTATGTTTTTTTTTCCCACCAAGTCTTTGTGATAACTTACTATTTTTACATTTTTGTGTAGATGGAGGATAGAATGGAGAAAGACATTGATGAGTGGGATGTTATATATCGCAATGCTCGTAAAGCTGAGAAGCTGAGATTTGAAACAAATGAGAGGGATGAGGCCGAGCTTGAAAGAACGGGGCAATCTCTGTGCATCTATGAGATTTACAATGGAGCTGGAGCTTGGCCATTTTTACATCATGGCTCTCTCTACCGTGGATTAAGCCTTGTGAGATCACCTTAAAAAACTGAACCTACTTTTAGTTTAATCCATTCATGCTTTGTTGATCCCCCCCAAAAAATGGATTATGCCTAACACCTGAATGGATAGTGTACTGGGGTAGACCATATTGAAAATGGAAATTAATTAATCCATATTAATTCTAATAGTAAAAAATTACAAAAGCAAATGCATTGAAGAACAAACCTTGTGTGGTTTTATCTCCAACTACTTTTTTCACAGAAACTTGTAGTGAATAGAATTTGAAATATATATGTATTACGTTTAAATGAGTAAGTGGGAAAAATATTAGATGCGCCGGGAATCATTTTAACTAAAATTGCACACAATTCTATACTTTAGATGCTTAAACATAAACATCAAAAGAAAAAGTTGGACGAAATTCAGAGTGGGCCAGGGGCGGTTTGGCTCCTGCCTAGCCCCACCATTTCCCTTAATCATAGACAATTTTATTTTGTTGAGCATATTAGCTACATAGTTATAATCATTTCTGCATTTACTGTTTTTCCTGGTTTATACTTTATACATTCAATATTCTAATTTAGATTAAATGTATTGTGCATTTGTGCCTAAGTTGACGAAAGTACGAAGGTTGAAGTCTGATGATGTAGATGCCGTTGGCCTCCTTCCATTGCTGAATGAGACATATTATAGAAATATCCTTTGCGAGATTGGAGGCATCTTTTCTATTGCAAATGGGATAGATAAAATTCATAAGCGACCTTGGGTTGGATTTCAGTCATGGCGAGCCACTGGGAGGCAGGTGCATCCTCATTCTTGTTAACTTGCCTAATTGTAGATTTTAAGGTCAAGTACAGCTGCTATTCTTGATGTTTGGTCAAATTACAGAGTTGTCCCTGAAGTTTTATATAAACTATGATTTGACTACCTGAGCAGTCATTTTTTTTAATGGCAACCTTACTGAAATGCGATAGAAAATATAATGGTATTAGCTAGAATAAGTGTTTAAGACCGGTTTTATTAATTTTACGAAAAAGTGTTCAGGACATTTCAAGGGGTGCTATATCATCTTTCAGTGTAAATTTCGGAATATTAGACATTTCAAGGGGTGCTTTTGTAATTATCAGGAACCTGAGGGATCATTTGGTAATTTTACCATATTTAACCCCAAATGTTACAACAGTTCTGCATGTTGTAGGATTGTGATAGAGTGCATACTTAATATTAAACTCTCTAGTATTTGGTATGTATGATTAGATTGTGCATCCCATTCATATTTGTTTCTGTCCAAACTTTCTTGTATGAGTGGACTTGTTACATGTATACCAGGTCTCTTTAACTAAAAGGGCAGAACAGGCTTTGGAAGAAACAATACATGAAAACACTAAAGGAGATGTTATATATTTTTGGGCACACTTAAATGTGGATGATGGGCTTGCAGGAAGGAACAATGCACTCACCTTTTGGTCTATGTGCGACATTTTGGATGGAGGAAACTGCAGGTGGATGTTTACTTTTGTAGCTAAAAGCATTGTTTGTAATATGCGTATGGGTCGTAGTTGGTAAGAGATGCGTTTTTGTTGCTTCTTTTATTCTTTGAGGTTTTGCATTCATATATTAATATATTATGAGCCCATTTTATGCTCTGGGCTGGTTCTGTTGATAATTCTAAAAACTGATAAAAAATATGTAAAAGAAAACAATTTTAAAAAAGGTTTAAGATATCAATATAAGCAATTTAACGTAAAATTAAACCATGCACTACTTTTTCCCCTGGTAAGCTGATTCAGCATTGGGTGAAAACTTTCCTCATAATCCGAAAAAGCAGTCTGCCAAACAGGATCTTTAGTTACATGTAGACCTCTCGGATAAAGTAATATCAGATCTTAATTCAACTTTCTTTCATCCTTTTTAAAATGTGTGTGTGGTGTGCGTTGCTTTTCTGTTTCAATTATGAACATTGACTACAATATTTGGGTTGATCTCCCTCTTTTAACTCATGATTGAAAGCGTGTGCAGAAATTCCTTCCAAAATGCATTTCGCAGAATGTATGGATTACCATCCCACTTGGAAGCTCTTCCGCCCATGCCTGAAGATGGCGGTCATTGGTCTGCCCTGCATTCCTGGGTGATGCCGACCCCTTCTTTTTTAGAATTTGTAATGTTCGCCAGGTATTTAGTTTGTTTGTGTCAAATGATATGAAGCTTAATTTACAGCTAGTATTATCCAACATTTAAAGCTGTTCAATTATCTGTGAACTTTTTTAATTTTTTAATATAAATTATAGGATTTTTGTTGATTCCCTCCATGCTGTGAATGTAAATTCAAGCAATGCGTCAGAATGTCCACCGGCAGCATCAACCATAGAGGTATATTTACATTGTTTACATGACAAACAATTTTCGGTCAAGGGGTAAAAAGCAAGGCGTTGAAAAATGTTTTTTTCCCTCTGCTAATAAAACGTTTTTTTAAAGTCCTTGCAGTTTTTCCTATGTTATCATTTGCATCGACATTTGTTTTTGTCTTTTTAGTCCCTCCCCATCAACCCTCCATTCGGAAATAAAGAACCAATGTAATTTACAAAATTCCAGTTCAGCCATTCTACGTTACATCTACTTTCTGTATTGGTGACTATTAGGGGAGTTTGGCCTAAGTAAATTTTATTTTTTGACTCTCTGGACCTTCAGAAAGAAAACATGAAGATTATAAAAACATGTTGTAAGGCCCGACTAGAGTTCTGTGATCTGCTTTAGTTTTTTTATGCAGAGATCGAGAGGAAAGGGACTGTAAAGAAAAAAAGTGTAATTCACATAAATGGATAACAGAAAATAATTCTACGTATCAAAAACAAAAAACAACATTACCCAGTGCCTCAAAGGCTTCCACCTACGGTGGGGTAGGAGGGGGTCGAATGTAAGCAGCCTCACCCCTGTACTAAAGCACATAGACTATTTCCAGATGACCCGTGATGAAAATCGCGTCGAAAATTGTATGGACTGATTGTTACTTCATAACAAAAACTCGTAGACAATTTAGTCAGTCATTTTGCTTTATTCCATCATATTCCCAAGCCAAAATAATTCTACATAGCTGAAAACAAAAAACATGTATGTCGGGATGAAAGACATGTTAAGCCAAAAAAGGAATTTCTCATGCCGCTGTTTGTTTCTTCCTACCAGAAGAATCACTGTTACTGTCAGACAATGGAACTGTTGGTAAACGTTTGGGCATATCATAGTGCTAGAAAGATGGTTTATGTAGATCCTGGATCGGGTTTATTGCAAGAACACCACCCTGTTGAGAAAAGAAGAGGGGTTATGTGGGCAAAGTATTTCAACTCGACTTTGTTAAAAAGTATGGACGAAGACCTGGCAGAGGCTGCTGATGACAATGACCCTCCATATCAAAAGTGGTTGTGGCCCTTGACGGGTGAGGTGTACTGGCAAGGGGTTTACGAGAGGGAAAGGGAACACAGGTATAGGTTAAAAATGGATAAGAAGAGAAAGACGAGAGAGAAACTGTTTGACAGGATGAAATACGGGTATAAACAAAAGACTCTTGGCGGATGATAGGTTAAACAAAACCTTGGAGCTTGGCAAGTTTTGACGTCACATGGGCCCTGAAGCTTTGGGGCACATTCATTTTTGGTTCACGATTATTATATTCTCCATCGGTGCCGATAGAGCGGCTTCATTCTTTTCTAACCACATAAAACATACAGAGTAACTCATACTAACATGAGCCAAGTTTGTGGCAGTGAAAGGATCAGGGAAAGTTTCTGGAAATGTTATGTTACTGGCGTACATTCCTTAGTCGCTTAAAGGATGATTCCTGAACATATCCCTGAGTCTTTCTCTGACAATATGCTTGCTCGGCTTGACATGGACGACCAACTCGGTTGCAGAAAGATTTATATGCAGAGGAGATTTTCTTTAGGGAAATGAATCTAAGAAGCAAAGTCTCAGTCAGTTTTGAGACGAAATGAGGATTGCCCGAGTTTTAACTTTTGAGGAGTATCAGTGCACCATTTCCACATAGTAGATTCTTTTTTTCCTCAATTCAGATGGGAAATTTTGCATATTGTATTCTTTTAGCTATGTAAATACAAATTTGCAATAATGGCTTTAGTTTTTATATCGAGATCTTTTTCATTTATTTGGCCTGCTTCAATTACTTTGACACCGTCCCAGCCCCCATTTGGAGCACACACACTGATAAAGAGGGCATTTGCAACAATTGCAAGGAAGAAAAACGTGGGAGAACAATAAAGTATGGATTCAAATTCAGTAAACGTTTTGTTGCCATTGTTTCAAATTTATAAGCGAGTACAATTAATTAACATTAACCATACTTTATGTTTTACGGGGAGTCTTAGCGCACTGGTTGTGGTATTTTGGTGTCAACAAGAGGTCACGAGTTTAAGCCTTGGGAGTGGTCTTTTGTCAAAAAATGGTGAGAAAGTTTTCTCCTTATACGCCATTATGTTGGGACACTTCTCAGACTCTCCTTGCATGGACACCAATGTGTATCAGGCTGCACATTGTTAACCACTGAATTAGTAAAATATGTAGTACGGAGTACTATAATGGTTAGCATATATATATAAGTCTTATTCAATTAGGGGTGGATCCGGGCTGGTCTTGTCTGAATTCCGGTATGGTCCGTTCCTAATTTATTGCAAGTGTCAAAAATGTATGAAAGAGTGATGATAACATTTAAAATGCATTAGAAATTTTATTAGGTAACACATTTAAATAATACTTATATAATAGTCAAACTTAAATGACTTGCACAGAATTTTCAAACAAAAATTAAAACACTGAATTGTTACAAAAATTTAATAATGATAGGTGTAATGCCTTATGCAATATGAGAACAATGGATTACATTTGATTAGGCAAATATAAATACACAATTTTTTTCAACCATAAATGGCTTGCATTGAATTTTAGAATTCAAAAGCGTTCTTGAACATTAGTCTAAACGGATACTTAATGCTCTGTTATTGCAATGGCTGAGGGCCCTCCATTATCAGAATAATATATCACATTGGGTATGTGTATTCATTATGACTAATTAGGTAATTAATTTACACCAGTTAGGAAAAATATTCCGGCTTAATGTTTAACTTTTAACTAATCAATCACTTGAGCTACAAACAATTATAATTCAAAAGATCATCATTCTATTACAATTCCTAATAACTCAAAAAATACCAAAACATTGTGTAAAATAAGACAATGATTTTTTGCCACCTGATAGAAGTAAAGGTGAGATTGAATGTAAAAAACGCCTTAATATTAAAAATTCTGACATTCGACCTAATTGTTTGAAGTAATAGAATCATCATTATGATACTATGGATCCGTTGTTTGCTCATAATGCCATCATCAAGCTATATTACCATCATCAACCTAATTTGCCATCAGTCCATCACCAAGCTATAATAATATACGTAGTAATATATAATCTTTAGTATCAGACATTTTGTTGGTATGGCGCCACCATTGTTGGACTGATGAAGAACCAAAGGGAGAGAAAGAGAAGTGCTGGAACGATTAGAAGTTGGGGGAGAAGAAGAGGGAAACTGAAATAGTGAAGAAGGAGAAACGTTGGAAGAAAGAAAAGAAAATAGTACTCCGTCGTAAATTAAAAAATATAACCCCTAATTTAGGAATCTAAAACATGTATTCCTATCTTTCATTTTTGTGAATGTTTTATGGACTACTTTCTCTTTAAAACATTTTCCAACCTCTCTTATGAATAGAAGATGCAAGAGATTTATAATTTTCAACTACTTTTCATAAGCGTGTTGCGCGATAGTGTAGATGCCCAATGTTGTTTAAAAAAACACCTTTACAAAATATGTTGAGTTATTATCTATTGAATTGAATCTTATTGGCATGAAAACTTGCTACATTTGTCTTTTTATTATAATGCCTTCAGGCACACCTTTAATAACTTTTGTTCTACCATTAGCCTATTACAAATGCTTTCCAGGGAGTTCTCCTAGCCAATATAATAGGTGTTATATAAAGATGGCGCCATTCCCATAGGCTTCATGTTAGTGATTTTCATTTCCAAATAATTCTAAGTTGTCTTACGTAGAACAAAAACATACAAACATTGTACATATTTTGTCATTCATATTTAGATTATAAGTTCACTCCATGGAGAAAATCACAAGAAAAATTAGAGTCTGTTTGGCAACACTGTTTTTCGGCTTATCAGACAACTTTTCACCAAACACGTAACTTTTACTTTCGCCCACTGAATTATGTAATAAGCATAAAAAATAAGGTTGGAATTACTTTTCTGGTTGTGTTGGCTGAAGTTATTGTACATGGCCATTTTAACTATTTTTACATATAATTATTTATTTATTTTATTTCATTTCATTTTCATTTACCCCAGTGCCGCAAAGGCTCCCACCTAATATTTATTTATTTTATTAATAAAATAAATTTTTTTTAAAAATTATTTTTTCTTAAATCAGCAGAATCAGTCAATGCAGCAGCTAGTTCAGCCAGAGCTTCATAAATTTCAGCAGAATCAGTCATATCAGCCGATTTTCGTGTTACCAAACGGGCTCTTAGTGTCGGATTGACGGTATTAATCATATGCAAGTTCTAACTTGTTAAGAAATAGTCATTAGAGGACTCCAGCCTAATTTTTGATAGAGTCAAAAAGCAACTACCAATGTTTAGACCTTGCTTCAAGTGTTTTGAAATTTTATACTTTATAGTAGTTTTTCATTACTTAAATTTTGATGCTACTAATTAGAATCAATTGGAATTGAATTATTACATGGATAACACTGATGTTTTATTTTTCTCACTGTCAAACTAAATAATTACGGAGTAGTACTTATGCCAATTGTAAGCAAAACCAGCCACAATTTTGGTAATAATTTCATTCATCCTTAATAAACTGTGGAAGGCTACAAGCAAAACTATTAGTGCTAACTATCTGTAATGTTATTGTTATACTATGTATTACCTTAGTGCTAGCACTAACATTTTAAGAAGATGGGCTGCTATGAACAAAAAAAAGTAAGACACCAAACATTACACCTGGTGTAGACATACAAGCTACTTAAGTTAAACATGTTCTATTCATTTATGGCTTCAAACTATATAGACATTCACATTCAACATGTCAAACTAAGCATATAACTATATGTATATATTCTTTTTCCACCAAAAAACACTATTTTCGTAATGCAAAATAAGACATGACCTTGAAGCTTCATTTGAAGGAGCTACCGATGAAAATGAAGGATGTTTCTTTTATTTTAAAACATGATATTTGCTTTTTGTCGAGTTTTTGGAGTTAGCAACAAAATAGTAGATCATCATGTGTGATTAACAATGCTGAGAGGTGCAGACGTGTACTTTTAAAAAACGATAAATGGAAACATGAGTAATAATACATACATCAAGCAATAGTCACAATCCCTGTAAAACTATGTATGAACAAAGCAATGATTTTTATAAGTGTGACGATTCAAATCAAACAAATCACAAAAATTGTTTATTGAATAATGATATAAACATAGTACATTCCTTTCGGATATAAGTGGCGTACCTTGAATACAATTAATGGGAAAAGACTCTAGGTGATTGAGCATTTTTTTGAAGGACACAACTCCTTAAAATGTACGGAGTATTTTGTACTAATGAAATGGTTTGGAGTGGAATTAATTTGGTTTATGATTAAGATGCACAAAGAGATTCGCAAAAAAAAATGCACAAATTGGTTTACCACTCTAAGTTAGCTGGAAAAAGGCTTCTATCCTTAAAGGCTTGTAGTCTTTTATGTAGTTTATGATACGATTAAAAAGGCATCATCTTTGCTTGTTTAAATGCAGTGAAAATCAAATTCAACACAAAAGAAGTACTCCCGGGTATGAAGTAATCCAATTTTAACAAAATTATAAATAAAAAACAAGCTAAGGTAAACAAAACTAAGTCTAAATACACTGAAGGAGAACATCCTACTATGAGGATCTCATTATCTCAAGCCATTTACAATATATTCTTAGTTTTGTGCATTTAAGAGGTGGTGTTTTCTAAATCGCATATCAAACCATCTTTGAGTTTGTGAGTTCTGAAAATAATAAGCACATTGTTTGCTTTCAGCCAAGGCGAACATCCTGCTACAAGGTGCAAATATATGAGGATAGGAGGTGCAAATTATATCAT